AAAGCTGGGAGATATGCTCAGTGAAACACTATTGTAGATACTCACCTCGAAGAGACCAGGAATATAGTTGTGATGTGTTTTAAATATTAACTTAATTTTCTCTATATTCAAGCAACATTGAGACTTTTAACATTGATTTTTGCCAGGTCCAGCAAGTCAGTGATGGATAGTTGAATAAAACTGTAGAAGTTGAATGCATGGAAATGTATGATTTATTTATTTATTTTTTAAATCAATTCTTAAATTTTAGACTTGAATGTTGCAGCTAGAGTGACAGTGGTAAGAGAAGATCTGAGCCGAGATGATGTCCATTAATCTTGGAATCGGTTACCAGAGAAGCCTGAGGGTGGTTGGAAAATGCTCTTCTCTTGCACTCAAAAGAAAGGGCTAGGACTTTAGGGGCCATTTTTTTTGAAAATTATTGCTGAACTATTAAGAGAATGAGAGACAAAGAGGACAGAACATTGGGGGCATTGCTCACAGCTTGGGGGCTGACAGAGAAAGGTGAGAGGGGGAGATACTGTGGATCAATTCAGAGAGGCAGAAGGTTAATCAGCTTGAGGAAAAAATAACTTGCTGAGACAGAGGCTAAAAGAGGACTTGGAGATTTCTAAAGCTGTTTAGAGCTTATCTTTGATTTTGCTTTCAACTTGATAGAGACTCATTCCTGTTGTGAAGAGTCAATGGAATCATTACACAGGAGTCATAGTTATTTTGGCTGATTTTGTGTACACATGTTGCAAGTGAATGTGTTTGAGACAATTAAGGCAAATATCTGACATTCCATACTCCCTTCAAGTGGAAAACCCAAGTGTTTTGTTGGGAGCCTGACCTAAGGCTGTTTAAATACAAAGAAAGGGGTGATTTGGAGAGTATGACAAAGTCAACCTAACTGACAACGGTTACCTGACCCAGTGGCAGAACACAGCATGAAACCATGATCTACAATGAGATGTGGGCTAAAGTTTAGCATCTCAGAACCCCATTGTTGTCTCTGGCTATTACCATCAGCCATATTACTTCAGGGCAGTTTGTAAATATTATGAATCACAGAACAGGAAAGGAAATTGACAGACATTTGCCAAGTGCTATCTGGGTACCAAGACTGGGGGCATGGGAAGACACTTAACTAATGTAGCATGGCGATATGTATATGAAAGCAGAAAGTGCTTCAAAAGTAAAATTTTTTATTGGAGTTATGGAGAGAGAAGTGAGAGCAGCTTGAGAGTATAGTTTAAAGCAAAATTTGTAAAGCTTAATCTAAAGTGAGTCTCTGGTGATTCAATCATAATTTCCCCAGTGTTAATATTACTGATTCCTGTTGTTTGCCTCAGAAGTAGAATTTTAAAATGGTGTTTGTACCTGCAAAGTAACTGCCCTTCCTTTAAGCTTTAAACATTCAGTATGTTTAATTCAACTGAATACTTATCAATTTACTAGAGTTTATTTTCACTGTCACAATCTAAGAGAAATGGGAAAACAGGGAAGAAGTTAAATGACTTTGCCAAGGACACATAGCTTTTGGTAATAGTATCTGAAGACACTATCTGGAAGTTTGTGGTCTTGCTTCAAATTAAGAAATCCCTATAACATTGGGGGGAAAAAACAAAAATGTTCATTTTAGAGAAGAGATAACACATTAAATTTTAAGGGTTGGCTTATTCTCTTCCATAGACATAGCAAAATGAGGCAGTAAATACTTCGGCTTAGGAAGAAAAAATAAGTTTTGCAGAATGAATAATCTCTCATGTTTATTTTCATTACATAACTTGTGATGTAGACTCAGGCACATGTTTTTTTTTTTTTTTTTCCCCCGTATGCTTTTTAAAAATGTGTATCATCACCATCATGAAGAGGTTACTATTATTTGAAGCTTGACTTATCAAGTTTGCAAGACCCTAGGGGGATTTTTTTTTTCTGCCAGCATACAGAATCATGCATCATGCAGACATTTGAATGCTCCCTGATGCCTGTTTTGAGAAAATATGTCTGCCATTACCCTGAGTTGACATAATACATAGGGCTCAGTTATAAAGTTTACGGTGTGTTTTCTACTGGGAAGAATTGTATGAAGTTGCACTCAGGAACAGTACACAATTAGAAAACAGTTTAGAAAGATACACAAAAAAGGAAAAGGGACATTATTCATAGACTTAGAGCCTGGCAAACATGGGGGCCACCCCCTTTCCTAGACTGTCTCAGTTTTTTTCAATTACAATGTGGTGGCATGTTGGATACCAAGACACTGAAAATACACAATGTCCTCCTCTCTTCCTCTCTGAAACTATGAATCAGTCGCCAGGCATTATCTGTGTGGTTCTGAACCTTTGTCAAATGTAGGTTCTCTTTCTCTGACTGGCAAGTTGTTCTTCCATAGTTGTACAGAACTTGGATAGGCTGTTTATTCCAGAAGCTCTCCCTGCCGATGAGTAAGTCACTCATCTATTTTACACACATTATTAGACTTTGTCTGCATACTTGATACAGGGCATATGAAGATAACAAGAATGCAGCCTTGCTTTCAAGACATGATCTATTGTACACCTGAGACAGTGAGGTGATTCTTACCTGGGGAGTGAGAAAATGGAAAAGTGGGAAGGGTTAGGGAGACTGAACATTTCACACGTTTCTTCAGTAGAACAAAGCAAAAGGAAAATGGTGTTTCATGGATCTTGGCATTGGGACCAGTAGACTTGCGGAGCTCAATTTTAATGCTTAGATCATATTTTCAGTTGGCTTTGTTCTAAGACACGTATTATTATTTCTAAGACTTTGTTTATTAGGCTTTTGCATGTCATCTCAATGTTATTTCAGTCTGTGATTTGGAGTTTGGCATTAATGTTCAGAGACCCTCTGACACTGAACATAATTTATAAGCAATTTTAAAATAGCTAGATCAGTTTGCACTAAACCTAGTCTTAATTTTGCAGGGCTTCAGAATGGAAGCTATATTTGATCAGTATTACTTGGTAGTAAATAAAAGTTGTTGTTTTTTTTTTTTTTGTAATACTTATGTATTATTCTTACAGCCACTTGGTGCTTAAGAGAAATCGCCATTTCAGTGGATTTGGGCATCCTAGGGATCATTAGACTCATTCAACTGATGTCCTGGTACAATCATCCTTCAGTTGACTCATCAACATTATGAAAAATTTCACTTGTGGCCTCCTGAACCATCAGTCAGATTTCAAAAGCCATTCTTTCTCTTTTGCTACCCCAAGTTCTTCCCTTCCTCGTCCCTGTTGTCTTCCCAGTATAGTTCACATAACACACAAAACCATTATATCCTTTTATTTGTGTTAAAAATACAGAAAGTTTGTACAGTAAGGTCTGCCCTGACAGATTCTGAGCTCTGTCTGCAATGTTTACTGGTGAGAGCTAAGTCAATGTGTTTTCTCAAGTAGTGAATGCTGTGTCATTTACTGCTTACAGAGGTGGAGTGATTAGTGAACACTGGACAAATAATTGGACACTTAAGATTACACAAATTTTAGGAGACTGTTGCTTAGTGTCTAAGATGGTAATGTGTACCTAGTACTGTTAATTGTATGTTTTCTTAGTCAGGTGAACATGATCTAGAGGAGTAAAACAATTTGGATTCAGCCATACTTGACACAGAAATGAACTCAGACTAAAGGGCTGGATACAATAGGAAACAAACAGGGCTTTCCTTGAGATTTTAGAACACAGATGTTTTATTTTATTAGTATTCTCTTCAACAGTAGAGGAAATTCCAATGTTTCAACCACCTGACTTGGTAATCCAGTTCAGTAAATTAGATTGTCTCTCTGGAACAGCAGATCGTGTCTTTGTGCTCTGTTGACTCTTTCACCTCCTCCTCTTTGAATCAGGTTCCACCAACTGGAAAATGACCCATAAGCCCAGAAGTAATGGAGTTTAAAAAATACCTCAGAGCTTTTTCAGTAACAAAGATTGAGGCTTTTATTTTACCACACAGATACTTGAATTTCACCTGGAATTTCAAAATCCATTCGACTGTGGGAAGAAAAGGGAGTAAAACAAGAAACACATTCACACTCTGTAGTGCTTTGTGTGTGTGCTTTTTATTAAGAATTAATAAAAGGAACTAGCTGGCAATCCAGAGGTATTGAACTAATAAAGAAGCATTATCCATGGGAGAAAATAACTCCTCAGTATTTATTAAAATAGGCTTAATGAAATAAATTGTGACGTGTCAACAATACACAGTGATGATATTGTGTAGTGACTAAAAAATGAGGTGAGTATTTAGTGCTGTCAAGTCATCTCCTAAACAAGGTGAAACAAACCAAAGTTCAGTCCAGAACACAGAACCTGCTAGCCCTCAGGGAAAGGAGATGCCAGAAGCAAAGAATGCCCCCTGGGGAATGGCCCTGAATGGGCACAGACAGGAAGGAATCGACATTTACATGCATCTTTTAGTTCCCTGAAATCTTGTACTCCATGTATTCCAAAGTTAGATAATACTGGGGCTATGAAAAAATAATTTCTACTGAGAATATTCAGAACTAATTTCAGTATACACCAACATTTAGTATTTTTATCAACTTCCCATTACGTTGGCTTACTTAAAGCTTCCTAAGTTTTTGAGGATGAGTTATTTCTAATTGAATGGTCTGTTATTATTTAATTAAACTAAAATAGAATGAGGTGTTTTGTGAAATAATAGCTCCTGTGTAGATTTTTTGTCTGTCTTACAGTAACAGCTTAATGCGTGTTCTACCAAATAACAATTTAAAAATAATGTCTTCCTTGTGTCACATTAATAATGAAAATAGTAATTCGGATTTATATTTTTACATTTTGAAACCAAAGTACTTTTAATTTGTATGTTGTTCTGTTACTTCAGGTTATTATGACCTGATATTATTTTTCACTTCCTGTTGCTCATATCTATTTCAATGAGATGAATGGGTTTAAAACCAAGTTAATAATAACAGTAAAAATAATTTTTTATATGTTTGTTTTCTAATTGTCTTTTCTCCTTGTTTTCCTTACAGTGCAGGAGTTGGCCGGACTGGTTGTTTCATTGTAATAGATGCCATGTTAGAAAGAATAAAGCATGAAAAAACTGTAGATATTTATGGCCATGTAACTTTAATGCGAGCCCAGAGGAATTACATGGTTCAGACTGAGGACCAGTACATCTTTATCCATGATGCGCTGTTAGAAGCAGTGACATGTGGAAATACCGAAGTGCCGGCTAGAAACTTGTATGCCTACATTCAGAAGCTGACTCAAATAGAAACAGGAGAGAATGTCACAGGAATGGAGCTTGAATTTAAGGTATGGTGTCAGGTGTGACGTGGTCATCCCAGGAGCAAGTCACTCTGAGATTATCTTCGAGCGGTGGCTTTGTTTTCTTGTACTTCAGAAATTATGAAAGTTTAAGAATCACTTTACCTTCTCCTAAGATGTCTAACTATAAAACACTCTTCCTCTTTCCCTTGTGTATTCTTTGTTTCCTGACAATACCTTGAACTCTTTTGTGGTCTAGTTTAAATGGAAAGATCATACTCTTAACGACATTAAATTTAAAAATTCAGCAGGCTATGTGGCATCACTAGGTAGAAGTAAAAGGTAATGCAATCTGAAGAATCATTTGTTCTAAAATAAAGAATTTAGAACTGAGAGAAACGGGTATGTTGCATTGAAACCATAGGCTGAAATAGTCTTTTTTGGATTTTTCTGTTTCACAGCGGCTAGCCAGCTCTAAAGCTCACACCTCAAGATTCATCAGTGCCAATCTTCCATGTAATAAATTCAAAAATCGCCTTGTTAATATTATGCCATATGAATCTACAAGGGTATGCCTGCAGCCTATCCGAGGGGTAGAAGGATCTGATTACATCAATGCCAGTTTTATTGATGGATACAGGTATAAACTCTTGATCCCCTGACAGTCCAAAGTCTTGATATTTACATGTGCCCTAGTTTCTTCTCCTGAATGAATTTCATCTCAAGTCAAAGCATTTTCTTTGTGCATAAGTCAGCATTCAGTCCCTTGGTTTTGTTTATCATTATTTTGGGTAGGAATGAACAGCTGCACTCGTGAAGTTTTTAATTTGGCTTGCTGCATTCTAGTTTCCAAAGCCATGTGGATATGAGGGAGTTAATAAAGAAGTACTTTTGAACCATATTTCACAAATGTAATTGTCAGCATTATTAAAAAAAAAACTGCACAAGTAAATGTTTAAATGATACTTGTGACTCATGATAAAAACATACTTTGATATTAACAAAGAAGTTTCTTCTGCTACGTCTCCAAAATGTATTAAATGTTTATATATGATTGTATAATCTAACTGGAATTTACTGTAATCAAATTAATAGGTTTTCATTTGATCACTGGAATCCTGTGTAAGTGTGAGCCTATGTGTATACTCAGAATTATGTGACTGGCTCCTTTCATTCATTCTTTGTGATACAGACAACAGAAAGCCTACATCGCTACCCAGGGACCCTTGGCAGAGACCACCGAAGACTTCTGGAGGATGCTCTGGGAACACAATTCTACAATTGTTGTGATGCTCACCAAACTGCGGGAGATGGGCAGAGTAAGTATCTCCTCAAAACGAGGATTTCATTTAATCACCCATATGCCATTGTCGTTTTTATGCACAGGATGGTGGACATTCTCTGTCATTTGTTCCTGTGTTGGTTTCTAACCTGAAAAACCACATTAAGTTATATAATTGTGTGTTATGAAGGAAGAGCCAATGCTTTGTTTTCAGTAAAGCACAGTCAGAGTAAGTACAGTGTCTTCATTGAACATAGTGTTTTCAAGTTACATGTAATTAATTTTTGTAAGGAATTTCAGATACACCTCTGCAAACTTATGCTAATTAAATAGGTGCATTTTGCCATAGAGATGCATCTACAATGTAGCTTTCAAAGGCCACAGAGAAGAGCAAATTTGAGATTTTTGTGAAACATAGTCAAGTTACAAAAACTGCTTATAGCCCAGTTTCATGCACTTAAAATGAATCAGGTTGGTTTGTATTTAATTGATCTGTATTAAGCACATTTTATATGTTGATACCGTTGGGCAATTATTAAAGTGTGTAGGGTAGCACAGAGAAAATGAGTCATATGCCATTGAAATTTACTTGAATTTTGATTTTTATTATAAAAGCAAAAGTCATATAGATTGACATAAACACTTTACAAATTGACACTTAAAGTTTTACCATTAATCATTTCTCCTTCTAGGAGAAATGTCACCAATATTGGCCAGCAGAACGCTCTGCAAGATACCAGTACTTTGTTGTCGACCCCATGGCTGAGTACAACATGCCACAGTACATCCTAAGAGAATTCAAGGTCACAGATGCCAGGGTAAGTGGGCAGTCGTCTTCTTTTCACCACTGACATAAAGAAATTATTCATCCTACGGAACTTCTCTCTCTGGCAATTATTCTTAGCAACTCTGCCTTGGCTCCCTGTCAAATATAACCTCTGGCACCCCAAGTTTAGGGAGACCCTTGGTGAGTGCACAGGGAATCACTTACCAAATGGTCAGCTGTGCTTCTACTCACTTTATTCTCTTCAGTACTTGAGGTTGTAAATATTTTGTTGTTTTCTAAAGCCTTTTTAAGTTTTGTGGGCTTAGAAATTAATTTGCTATGTTTTTGAAATTGCAAAGCAAATGCCATTTCTTAGAACAATCTGACAAACTTGGCATATAGTAATTTGATTCCTGGAATGGTTTTTCCTTCGGTGCACTGATATGCCTGTGTGTTCCCATGACCCTTGCTGCCCAATTTTCATTTTGCATTTATATATAGATTTCTGAGTCCAAGGTTCAGGCCTCATCTGAAATATTGCATGCATAAGTTTTAATATCATTGCCTCTAGTCACTTGCAAAACTTGATTATAAACACACCTTAAGGATAGGATCAGTCCAAAGCCTTTAGAAGTGTCAAGGCAGGTAAGTTGAATGCAACCTGCACAGTACAACTATTTACTTAAATAATTGTTTATTAGTTGAGAAAACTGCTTTCCAGAATAATCATGTTTAGACATTGTCTGCTAATGTCCAAAGCCTGCCCTTTGTTGTTGACCTAAAGAGAAATTGGTTTAACAGTCTGTCCCAGATGACAAATATATTAATTCCAGAGAGTATTAAATACTCCATCATTAACAAGAAAATTACGCTAAAAGAATATGAAACTAGGTATGTGAAATTATAAATACACTGCTTGAAAAGTCACTCACCATGTATAATGCTAAAGAGTAGAGGCAGGCTGCACAACCAATAACTTCACTATTCCTCTTGAATTGTGTCGTTTTCTCAGCTGCCATGGCTTCTGTTGTCTGTGCTCCAGGTGTGTTTATAATCTTCACATACAAGTTTGGGAAGCAAGTTAGCAAATGAAATATTGCTAAACAGGTAGCTGCTTGTCCAAATAGCAAGGGCTTATGCATTTATCCCCAGGAAGTAAATATGTAAGTTAACCTGTTTTATTTCCACCCCCAATAATAGTAGCTAGGAATCCTCTTGTGGATTCCACTCGGTTGGTTGAATGGACAAAGTCCCTATGCCATGTGAAGGTAGGTCTAAGAGAGTCACAAATGCAGTCCTTGAAACTTACCCACCATTTCTGGAGGCAGGGACCAGCAATTTCTTCACTACTCTTCTCTTAGTTTAATCTGCTCACAGTAATCAACAGAAGGTTATGTGCTTGGAATATAAGGTCCTAGCCCTCTACTACTTCAAGACAGAGTTCATGGGCATCATTATAGTTAACCATCTAAAAGCCTGTAAAATTCCACAAGGGATACCAAATCATTGTTATAGGACTGAGAAGTGTTTTGTCTCAATTTTAGGAAGGCCAGACTTCTATAATATAGCATGTTTTTGTGCCATTGGTATGTATGACTAATACTCATTGCCTATTTACATAAACCATGCCTCCGAACCTGTGCATCAGCACAGCAGATGCTCTTGTCAGTACCAACTACAATGAATGGAATCCAGTCACTGTAAAATACGGTCTGTGGTTGGTGAGAACCCAAGTTTGTAACTGTATTTTCAAAATGTGCTAAGAACACAAGAGTACTGTGTGTAATTAAAAATGTTTCTATTTTTTTCATTTTGGGAAAAAAAAATCATACCTGAAGTTGGGGTATGCATACTGGCTGAATCCTCTTAACATCCTTTTTTTGTGGTTATCACAAGGATGGTCAGTCCCGAACGGTGAGGCAGTTCCAGTTCACTGACTGGCCAGAGCAAGGAGTGCCAAAGTCTGGAGAAGGATTTATTGATTTTATTGGACAAGTCCATAAAACAAAAGAGCAATTTGGCCAGGACGGACCCATTTCTGTCCACTGCAGGTGCGTTAATAATTACAAGTTTCCTTTGTGAGTAAGGACCTTGCTGGGTGTATTGAGGTTGGAGGAACAAAGTGCATTGGGCACATTGGAGAAAGAGCAAATTTAATAACCTACATGGAGATGAAGTATCGTGTAGATAAAAGGGGGTGACTTTATATAAGAAAACCTTGCCCCCGAATATTTCCTGTGACTTCTACATAGACTTACCTTAGTAAAATGTTTATTTGTGGAGTTATTACTCACACTTTACGTAGGCCCAAACGATTCAGTTACCACAGCCACATGTATTTGAAAAATGCATACTGTGAACTCTTAGAAAAGCGTTTTGGGGAGAAAAAACCCCTGCAATAACAAATGGTACAGTATGTTTTGCTATTTACTCATTGCACTCAATCTCTAGAAACATCATGGAGTACCAAATTACATTATTTTCCTTATCTTGTTTTCTATAACATCACCCTGGTAACTATCCTGTCTGCTATTTCTTTTCTACGGAAAAGCATAAGTAGTCATTAATACTAATTTTTCTAGTCAATAAATAATTAGAGTGGTAGCCCCATTTAAAATTGTTTCTGTATCAGAAAATGAAGCACCTTTAAGTTAATTATTTCCAATACTTTCCACAACATTTTATAATTCAAGTCATTGCATTTAATACAAATAGTAAATAGTTCAGAAAGGAAGGTTACTATATAAATTTAGTGATTTAGAAAATTGATATGCAAACTAATTTACTAAAGTTAATTAAATAAAGCATTTAAACAAACTGAAGACTAAGTACTTGATATCTTTATACTCCAAAAGTTCATTACAGTTTCAACTGGATCTCAAAAATAATAGAATTGTTAAGACCCAAAGTATGTGAGCTCTAGTTTCAATTGTACCATCATAGAAGTAACTGTGGCAGTAGGGAAATTGAGTTGCAAAGAATATTTAGGAAATGAAACATGAAATCACATACTCAAATGTGGTCAATTGTACTGCCTGAGTATTCCTGCTCATCTTTCACATAACTTTGTAATGTATAAGAATATATGTACATATTTTAAACTATAGTTATTTTCATAAGTATACATATATAAGTATTAAACACTCCTGTAGCATTAATGCTTGACATGTTATCATTTAAAGACTTCTGTGAAACCACCGAGTAGAAAATTAGGAATGGTCTTATTACAGTTGAGCAATAAAATCATGGTAACACAGACTGAAGTACCTGGATCATTCAACACAAAGAACACCAATCGCAGTATTTCATAATTAACGGTTTTTCAAGGTTATCTACTTTAGCTTAACGGATTGCTGCTATACATTCTCAGCTTCAAAAAGACTGCCTATTCTAAAAAAAATCTAAGCAGAAGTACATTATAAAGAAACACTACTTGTATTATACCTGTCAGAACATCCCCAAATAAAGGAAACCATCCATTTCTACAGCCTGCACCCATGCATTATTTCACATTATACACTTTTCTCCTAAACCCTAGATACTTTGCTATACCTTAAGAACAAAAAAAAAGTGATTTTCTATTATAATGGCAGTTACAATTCTTGAAATCTTCAAATAATGTGGAAATAAACTTAGTATCTCAAAAAAGTACTTAAGTATATGACTCACTGAATTACAACGTTTCATTTAGATTATGTTTTAGATAAAACATTATTTACTTATATAATCTCCACACTACCCTTTTTGAATGAGTCAAGAGCTACAATTTCAGGGCCTGTAAGAATAACAATAGAATTTTACTTACCCTTCTTTTATGTAGGTTTCCTGGGTCTTTCCAAAGTAGTATATAATCCTAGTTTTTAAATGGAATCTTTTGATTTATTCTCAAATATTACGAGAACACATCACCGTGAGGTATTCCATGAACCTAATGATAAACATTTTCTTAAGCATTGCTATGGAAAAACCTCTAATATGGAAGATAGTAGACACACATTCATCCTCAAGCAAATGTGGCTAACACAAGTGTGTCATTCAGTTAACATTGTCTCCATTATTGTTAACAGTGCGGGCGTTGGAAGAACAGGAGTCTTCATAACACTAAGCATTGTTTTGGAAAGAATGAGATATGAAGGTGTTGTAGATATCTTCCAGACTGTCAAAATGTTAAGAACACAACGACCAGCCATGGTGCAGACAGAGGTGAGAAAGAAAAAAATCTGTCACATCAAATTTTACTAGTCAGTGCACCCTGAAAACCAAATACTCAGTACCAGAAGCAAACTACAAGAAACTACTATAGAATAATTATCAATTTGTTCATTATTTTAAAACCTCATTTACCCCACCTTAAATGTCAGTCTAAACATTACTATTGAGCGACCATCACTAGGTGGGAACCATGTTAAATTGTGACAGTTACCATTTTGGGCCTATGAAAATGACAGTAATTCAGATCTGTAGCACAAACTAAACAATACCTCCATGTAATTGACTCTTGGCCCGTTTTACTCCCTTTCATTTTCTAAAAATACCTACATGTTAGACATTAACTGTTCTATATTTCATTTCTTCACAGCAGTCATTATAAATATTTAAATATTGGCTCTTATTCCCTCATTTTTTTATCCCAGTAGTTAATACAGACATGTTCATTTCTCAGAATAATAAAAACTCATGACTTAGCAAGTGTGTTCACCATTCATTTTGAAGGCTAATATGGTGTTTCTGTCCCTCGAAAGGCCACCAAACTACCCAATGTATTCCTAAATTTATCACCTACGATAGCTCCCAGACTTTGTTTTCAAAATAGTACAAGCATTTGGCTTGCAGTACTCAAAATATTATGTCAGCCTGAGAAACTTAATGGTTGTTGGGGTGACAGTGGGAAATTGGACGTTTAAAAAGCCTGAACACTTAGCCAAGCAAGTTACTGTGACAAGATATGAAAGAAAACTCCATTTATTTTGCATTACCATTTTTATTATAGGAAAATGCACATTTAAGCAAAATAGAAATGATCTACTTTCAGCCCCATTGGCTACTGAAAATAAGTTTTCTTAATGGGGAATTCCTACTTTTTCTTATCCTGTCTCATCTGTAAATTATAATTTTTCTATCCCTAAAAATGCTCAAACCTAACTATTCTTTTCATGTCTAAACATGTTTCATGCCATTGTAACTTCACTATAGGCCTTTTTAGTACAGACCACTAGCAGCTACACTGATTTAGACCAAATACTTGATGTTGTGTGAGGTCACTTTCAGGGCTGAAGAGTTTGAAGGCACCTTATGTGAATGGCTTTGTGTATCTGAGGTCACTCACCAGGTAGTAGATCTCGCTGCCTTACGTCAGATGTACCTGTTTCATGAATTCACCTTTTCTTCAGAATGTTGTATCAGCTTCCCAATATGTACAACCTGAAAAGGAATCATCAAAACAAGCAATACATGTTTAAGGAGTTCATTTAGCAGTACTGCTACTACCTGTGTAGACAGTGTTCACTCATGCTGTCACTACTTGGGACTAGGGAGCAATTTCCGTCGAGTAGGTAAACAGCAAACACATAGATGTTAGTAAGCACGCCATGGCGCGACTTGTTCTGCTCTCACTGAAATGACCGAAGTAATGATTTTCACTTCCAACTGGAGGTAACTGAAGTTGACTTTTCACTCTTCTATTAGAGTGAACTCACGGTCTCTCCTTTGTCCCCTGCAGGATCAGTATCAGTTCTGCTATCGGGCCGCACTTGAGTACCTGGGCAGCTTTGATCACTATGCAACGTAGAAACCCCTGACCCATTTTGGATTTTGACTGCAGGCCCTTCAATATCCACGGAGTCTCTTCTGAGCCATACAGGGCACTTGAGAAGTCCTCTTAACTTCTAGCTAACTACCACTTAGTGGGACTATTACACACAAAACAAATTTAAAAAAAAAAAAAAAAAAAAAAACTCTTCCAGGTGGACCAAGACTTCAATTTAACAATCTAACCTGAAACACAATAGAGAATCCTGACTGACGAGGAATCTGAAGGATTTTATTGACAGATACCTCGAGGATTCATCTTCAAGGGAAGAAGAAATCACAGCAAAGAACCACCATCTTGTTCAGAATTGCTCGAGAGGCGTGAGGAGGAAATGCCAGATGGTGCAGGGCCAGATGTTTGCTGGTGTAGCTTCTTATGATAGAATGGACTCTGCTTTGACATCACCCCTTCCCACCATACTGCTCATATTAACATTTTAGGGGGAAAGGGGGGAATGTTTCCACAAGAAAGTATTTGATTTAGTTTTTTAGTATTGTAAAGATACTGCTGACCTACCTGTGCTTCATTTTTAACTGTGTAAACTTTTTTTTTAACAAATGTATCATTCGATAAAGTGAATTTTAAAAAAAGTTACATAACTCTTCATTTTTTATTTCCAAATCGTAGGTTTTTTTAAGCTGTATAACTTACCTGTAATATCTTGCTGTAGAAATATCAAATATGAAAATTTGCACATTTTTGTGCAATACTCAATCTACAGTATCAGTCTCTCAGATATTACTTTCACACTTATGTTCAGTTTTGATTGGTAAGAAAGTACCCATTCTCTTCAAAGAGAACTTTCTTTTGATTTTAGAATCAACAGGGAGGCGCAAAGTATAAAGTTGCTGCTAACATATATACATATATATCCATACTTCATAGGGTGTCTATGTATATATAGACAGTGTGTCCACACTAAAAGATAGATATAGCTATTCAATTTTTCCATGCTTTAATTTTTTAAGGGAAATGAGGAATGCACATCAGTGATTGTCAAACCTCACCCTCCAATTTCCCCCAACCCTCACCCCCCCCCCATTCATATTCACCAATACCATTTTGTTAGCCAGGCTTCCAAAAACGTTAAATATTTCTAACACTCTAGTGCAATAAAAAAAAAATATTAAATATCTAAGAGGTGTGCATGTGGGAAAGGTCAGTGCATATCCCTTTAGGAGGGGAGAATGTTGTAATATATCAGCTACCAAGTTGTTTAAAAAGCAGTGTATTCAATCGTATATTGTCTATAGTATGTGCTATGAAATTTGCATTTATGATCTGTAACAGGGGCAAAGCCAAACTCATGTTACTCTGTTCAGTCAGAAACATTCTGTGGCATACAGCATTCCTGGGAAGTGCTGTGCTTTGTTTTGTTTTGGTTTTCTTTTTGCATTTAGAGTGCCTTATAATTGATGCCTATTTTAATAGCATTTCTTTTTAGCTTTCAATTCATATTTCCATTAGTTGTTCATATATGTTACTATTCTGATTAAAGCATTATCTGTTTACCACATGTACAAAAACTCTTTGAATAATATGCATTCCTAGTTTTCAACCAAGTCGGGGATGTTAGTGACTGTACCAGCCCAAAGCACTTGGATAATCAGGGCTCCCTTTCATAATTGCCAACATCAGGAACAGCTACTTCTTTTTATTCATAATCCCTTTCAAATCAACTCTGGAATACTCAGAAACTGCATCCAACTTATTTCAGTGACAACTATCATTGGTAACTTTGGACTGTATCTGCTTTTTCATGAGGATTGTGCTAAAAGAAGATATTTACAAGATACATGTATATGTGTAGGCCTACAGATATGCCTACACATACATATCACCCCAACTTTTCCAACATAATTTCCACAGGAAGCCATGAATGATGGCATCAGTTTGCCATATCTGAAACAATTTCAAAAATCTCTCAAAATATCCAAGAATTCTTAAGGAGTTTTATTTAGTATCAGTGTAATGTTTTCCTTTGACTTTAGCATCATTGATACCCTGCATTTAAGATTCCCCCCCCCATATTCCCATCACAAGCAGAATGAAATCCAAGAGACCAAACACTTGCAAGCATTGTATTTGAGCACTTTTGTAAAAAATAAATAATAAAATAAAAAAAGAAAAATATAAATACTAAAAAAAAAAAAAAAAAGTATCTAGAAGGCTACCTCAGAATGAGACTCTCTAACCTACATCAGAACCAGAGAAGAATGTGCACTATGTGGGTCTGTTATTTTCTTTGAGTTAATATTTTTGGAAATTTATCCAAGTGCCAGATTACTCAGTGCTGTCATTTTCATTTAATGAAACCAAGGGGGTCAGACAGACGGTGCATCACCAGCCATGCCACGTTGGACATGGAGAACCTGATGATGTATTGAACACCAGATCCATTGGCCAGTGAGCAGTTTCTCCCTGAAACCAAAAACTGCCCATCTGGCAAAGAGAAAAGGGAAAAAAAAAAAAAAAAAAAAAAACACAAGAAGAAAAGTGGATGGGATGCAAACCACAGTCGAGAGATGGAGATTATTCCAGACATCCTACCGTTCAGGCGCTGTTGCGAAAACTAACTTCCTTACTGTCATTGATGTGCATTCCACTCTGCTTTTCTGTACAACCATTCTAGTTTTATTTTCCCAGGTAAGCATTTTTTATCTACCATTACCATAAACTTTCAAGTTTCCAGTTATTTTCATCATCATAACCAGTACGGTGCTATTATTTACCTATGTACGTGTAGTTATGTATAATTTTGTAATTAGTTACAATGGTAAAAATATCAAAATATATAAAAAGTGATTTGTACAGAACTTTATTTTAGCTCTTTTTTAAAAATGATTTGCATGGTTAGACAATGGCGAGGACAGCCAGGGGAGGGAAGGGCCTCTAGGGAACTTTGCACTTTCTATACCTTTGTACTATGCACTGCCCTATTGATTCTACACCCAATAATGTTATTACTTGAACCCATCTGTAAGAAACTGCTTCAGAAATTCATTTGTGTGTATGTAAATAACACAGAAACGGGAAGGGAAAAAATTCTGTAGTGATATACAAATTTTTTTTCTTTCCCGCTCATTTGTGGGTTTGCTTTGGTTTAGTCCCCACTTTCATTTCAACTGCCTTTGCCTTTTCCTTCTGGGGTTTTGGTTTCCTTTGGGTTTATGGGTGCCCTGATACTCCAGCAGAGATCAGAAGGCTACAGATCCATCCTATCCATCCGTTACGTGGCTTTGCCATCCAAGCTTGGAGTGTCTTTACAAAGATAATAACAGTTGTGTTCTTTGCTCTCGTTTTGGATGCATAGACTGAAAAACTTAAAAAAAAATTAACTTGTAAAATGGCTTGTTAAAAAAATACAATTACCTCTAATCAGTAGTACGCGTAAATGTTTTACAGAATGAAAGGCGTGCTTTTTATTTTCCTACTTCGTTACATTGGTGGCGAAAGAAGTCTGTATGAAAAAAAATCAGTTCTTTGCTGACACAAGTTCCATTTGTTACAAATGAATTCTAATAAAAATGTCAGTGTTATGCAGCCCTAGCCTTTGATTTTGTTCCAACTAAGCACTGTGGTTTTCAATTGAGTGTGGAAGCTCCACCTTCCTCCCTCCCCATTATCAGGTTAGTTTCTTTGTATTAATAATGATTCCATTTATCCCAAGGGTTGCTATCTACAAGTACATGCCTTAAGGTAAGCACCTTTCACTGGTAAGCCCAATGAACCTGAGAGAAATAGTTTTCCCAACTTGATACATTAAACAAGAGGCTTGGTTTTGTTCACGTTAGAGGTCACCGTGATCTCGCATTCTGTGGAAAATGACTACTAGATAAATTTAAGTGCCTTACTCTCTATATATGTATGTTATAGACATATAAAGTATCATCACCTTGAAATAACACATAGCTCTCACGTAACAATAGTTGCATAATACTAATTTCTTAAATCTTTGGGGCTGTGACCAAGAAATTGCTTGGCATAGGTTGTTACCTCTCATTCAGTATGATGAAGTACCAGTAACAGGGAAAAACAGTTCTGTTTGTGGATGCAGCTGTGAACAAATAAGGCACTGCTGTTGCATCCACGCAAAAACAGTCTAGGAAGAGATGCTGGTATTAAATAATGAGTAATTACACTCTATCAAGTACAAGGAAGGAAAGTAAAAGACTTATAAGGCAACAACTTATTCAGAGGAATAGCAAGTCCAACACAACCTGGTTTACAACAACAATATTCATTGACTCGTACATACACTAAAAGCTTATGAATGCATCATTACAAATAGCTGCTAAATAATCTTAAGGCACACAACATAATTAAAGGCATGATGTAGGTAGGTATTCTTTTCATCATCCCCCCAGCCTGATTGCTGTTCTCTTGGTGTCTGCTTTAAGTAAATTTCCTGGTCTCCGGAAACTTTGGTATTTAAACTCAAAAAAACAGACAAGGAGAAGCACATACTTTCCTAACAATACAAAAAGCAACTCTAGGGTGGAATGAATAAGTTAATGGCCCTCATCAATGTGATTTGGGATCAGCGACCATCTCAGGCTCAGTTTTGAGTTGGAAGAAAGAATATGCTCCCTGAATTGTCAATCAAGGATTTAAAAGGGGGGTTGCCATCCCGCTAAGTACCAATGACCGTGGTGGGACCAACCACTCACTGGGTACAAATCGATCTGCTCATTTAGATAAGGCAAAGCATAGGTGTTTGGTAATGTCACCACCACATGTTGCCGTGAAAATAATCAGGAAATGAAATACAATGCCAAACATTCTGGCAATACTGATACTGGCTAGACAGACTCTACTACCCTTCTCGACCTAACTGTCCTCTAATTTCACAGATTCAGTTATCCAGGACCAGGGGATCAAGGTGCTTCCTATTTGATATTCTGATCATTATTTTAAACAGACACCTGAATTGCAATCATAATGGTAAAATTCACATGTGCACACTAGAGATTATAAGTCAATAATAACTTGTTAATTGAGGACTCTGACATATTTATATTCATGATAAAACTTCACAAGTCAAGAGAATATCCATGAAGTATAAAATCTGAGAAGTATTTAAAACCCCTTTTTGAGAATTTTGAAAAATCTTAAAGTCTGTGAAATCTTGTTTGATACTTGCTTGACGCTTTAATCTGGAATAAGATTTTATTTTTTACTGAAACAGCAAAAGAAAAAAAATAAAGAGGCTCTAAAGTATCCGATAGCAAAATATATATGTGAAATGTATTTGTAAAATTATCTGTGCTCATCATAGTTCCATGAGTAGTACATTAAAACTTCATTAAATAGTTTGGGGGACAACATTATAACATGAAAAATTAAGACCTTTAAAGTAGGCTGTAAAGCTACTACATGAAAACTACGAATTAAAAATGTATGACTCATTTAAATGATCACTGATTAGATTTTCGTACACTTTTTGGATTTTCTAAAATGTTCACAATTATTTTTATGTACCAACATAGAGCTATGTTTTAAGGTATATGAAAAAAACAGAGTAAGAACATGCGGTTTATACACCACATGAAACACCCCAACCCTCGCAAAC